GAGCCGCGGACACGCCGGGACCGCGGTACGCCGGGCCGGGCCGCGCGACGCAGGGGAGAGGCAGTGCGGTTACCTGAGCCCGTCGGCGCGGAGCGACGGAACGCAGCTTCCCGGCAGCGAGGCCGCCGCGTGGTCCGCAGAGCGAAGGAGCAGCAGCTACGGCGGCGCAGCCTCCTCGCACCGCTCCCTGCACACTGGACGGTGCGGGGCTTCGGCCGTGGTACCGCCCCTGCCGGGCTCCGTCTCCGCCTCTCTCCGCTCCGCCTTCCTCCTTCCCTTTTCCTCCTCCTCCTCCTCCAGCGCCGCCGGCGCTCGGGTTCTAATTCTTCCTCCTCCGCCCTCCTCAGCCTCCTCCCCTCGGGCCGGCCGCCTGCCCCTTCGCGAACCAAAACACAAACACTCAAGTCCCGGCGCCGCCGCCACTTCCGCCGCCCGGCGCCAGCCCCGCCGCCACGTCGCGGCACGCAGCAAGCTACGTCTCTTCGTCACTTCCGGACGGCGCTAGGCCGCCCGCTGCACCCGCCTCCCCGCCCGACTCCGAGCCTCCGGGTCCTGGGGCGGGGCTGGGGGGGGGGGAGCGGCTGTCACGTGACGGCCGCGAGGCCCGGTCGCGCTCAGCCCCGCCCCGTCAGAGCCATTGTTTTCTGGGCGGGGATGGAGGGAGTCCCGGCGGCGGGGCGGGGAAACTCCGGGCGGCCTGCTTGGGGGGCGGGCCGGGGCGGGGCTTGCGGTGCTGTCCCTGGCGGAGGGGTCGTGAGCTTACCCTACCCGTAGTGTTGGCTCGCAGGCATCCCCTTCCCCGGTTTCACAAGCCTGGATCCTGGCAGCCTAGCAAAGGGCTTGTCCGAGAGTCTCTCTGCACAGCCCGAGGCCCTTGCTGGGGATGGAGATCGGCCGAGAGCCGCAAGTCCCAGAACCCGGGCTGAGCCCGAAGGATCGCCGCGAGCTCGAGGCCAGCCTGAGCTGCACGGCGAGACCCTGTCTCAAAACACAAAACAAGAATTACCCCGTTATGTTATACTGTGAGTTTTATATAAAACTTACCGCTTGCCTCCCTTCCTTAGAGTAGTAACTTCCCAAAAACGATTCTCACCGCGGTAAACCCGGGTCTGGCACAGGGTCTGGCAGCCCGAAGTCGTAATTCATGGTTGTGGAAGTAGTCAACGAGGCGTGCCTATTTTACAGGTATGGAATTTGAGACAGATGAGATTGAGTAGCTTGTTCAAGAGCATGCCTATTTGGTGATGAAGCTGGATTTTTTTTTTTTTCCTTTGAGACAGGATCTCGCTATGTAGGTCAGGCTGGCCTTGAACTCAAGGTGTAGCCCAGGCTAGTCTCAAACTCACTGTGATCCTGCCTCTGCCTTCCGAGTGCTGGGATTACCACGCCGGGCAACGAAGCGAGCTCTAATCTGCAGGCTGGCTCCAGACGTGCGTTCTTAGGGTTGTCCTGAAATATAACCCAAGATGTCCATTAACCTCCACAGCAAAGCTACTGATTTTAAAAAAAATTGTTTTGGGAAGGTTAATTTCCACACTATCCACAGTTTCTGACAAGATGTCCAAAACCAAGCCAAAAATTTTATAATTTAAATATTAATGTAATAATAATTGTATAATTGTTATTTAATTATTATATTTAAATTATTATGTAAAATAGTGAAAATTGATTTCCCCTTAGAATGAGGAGTACTTTTTGGTTTGTAGTTTATAATTTGTATCCCTGTTGTGAGGTAATAAATATTATCTTTGAAATAAAAAAGAAAAAGAAATATACTTAGGCTAAGGCTTAAAAAAAGAAATATACTTGGGCTAAGGCATCGTGTGGGTGCACACTGCAAATTGTGCAATGAAGATGATTTGAACTCTTGAAGAGTCAGTCTGAGATCAACTCCCCAATTACCAGAGCAGAATGTGTCATAGGTACATGGTATCTGTGACACTTTAGCCCCAAGGAGGTGTTTGAATATGATATGCTAGTCATAGTATTAACTTGTGAATAATCCTAAGAAGAATTAGGAAATAGGATCTGTCACAACCATTTCGTCAGGTCAACAGCATGTCCCAAGTTAAATCTACTCCCTGTTTCTCCTTCGTGCCGGACGTTAACAGCTTCCTAGTCACTCAGACTCGGGACTGCAGCATCGTTTTCGAGCCTTCCTGCTTTCGTAAAGGTTTCATCGTCCATTTGTCATCAAAAAGTTTCAAACTTGCAAATCTGAGGTCTAATCCCATCATGTGAGCAATGGCAGTGTTTATGTGAAGGGGCATAAATACATATTCCTGTCTCCACACTTTAGCCAATCACTCTCTTCAAAATTCTTTAATGGTAACCAGGAGTGGTGGCACATGCCTGTAATCCCAACACTGGGAGGCTTGGGCAGGAGGATCCCAAGTTGGAGCCCAGCCTTAGCAATTTAGCAAGTTAGAGAGACCCTGTCTCAAAAAATGGCTGAGGATATAGTTCATATGAAAGACCTAGCTTCAATCCCAGTACTAGAGAAAAAAATAAAAGTTTAATAGTATCTCATTATTTGCTAACTAGAATCTAAAGTTCTTCAACCATAGTTCCAACTCATGTTTCTTTCATTCTGTGTAGATAGCCTCCCTCACCTCCCTGTTGCTTTGTCTTTTGACCACATGTGTCTACCCTCTTCCCTGAATATTGCCGGGGTGATCTCATCCTGGTATTTCTGATCACTTTGTTCTGTCTTTCACACCACTAACCCCCATCATTGCTGGTCTTACTTCATCCAGGGTGCCAGTTCCTCTAGAAAGCATCTGAGGATACTTCTACTGGGTTCCATTTTTCTGCAGTTTCACACCACAGAAAAGAGATTTCTCCTTTTTTTTTTTTTTTTTTTGGTACCGGAAATTGAACTCAGGACCTTGCACTTGCCAGGCAGGCGCTTATGCCACTGAGCTATATCCCTGGCAGTATTTCTTCTTATAATGATTCTAAAATCTGCCTTATTTTACAGTTCTCCTTCTTAGCCTTCTGTTCCCTTAGGATTATAAAGTTTTTAAGGACTGGGATCATGAGTTACTCTTCATTATGATTCCTCACAGGAGAACCTTTGTTGATATAAATCATAAAATATTGGTGAATGTAATTACATTTAGATTTCAAATGGTGAACATTTGACCTAAGAACTCACAACAAAATGGGAAGCTGAAATTTATGAATGGCTAGAAACTCCCTGTCCCATCATTCTAGAATATTGTTTCCTCATTCACTTCGGTCTACTGATTTGGTCTTAATTCACCTCCCTCATCAAGACATCCCAGGTTATTTGACAGTTTAGTCATTATGTTTAGCTAGGAGGGTACTGACCCAATGGCCAGCTTTTCTAAAGATCCATTGACAGCGTCTGTCTCTCTGTCTGTCTGCCTATTTGTCTGTCTGTCTCTCTAGCTAACTAGCTAGCTATTCTAGGCACTGAGTTCAGGGCCTTGCATGTGCTTATCATGTGCTCTAATGGTAATTTTATTTTATTTTATTTTATTTTCTGGTACCGGGAATCGAACTCATGACCTCGCACTTGCCAGGCAGGTGCTGTTTCGCTGAGCTAAATCCCCAGCCCCTTCTAATGGTAATTTGAGAGAAATTAGAATGCCGCAGTAAGGTTTTGTTGCTGTATTGTCACTCACAATATGCTTGTGTTTTCTTTTTCCTAAACCCAGACAACTGAGGAGGCCTGATAATTATATATATTTTAGTGTTAAATTTGGGATCCTAGTAATTGATAGGATTTTTTTAAACAAGATATGAAATGGATAGCCCTAAATTATATCAAAGACATAAACACTGCTCTTAGTGCTTATATTGCTCTCAAGTCTCCAAATACCGCATCATAAATTCCTAGTGCCTGGCTTTTCTGAATGATTCATGTACCCCATATCCTCCACATTCTCCTTTAGAAAGTTTTCTTCTGTTATGTAGTTGAATACTTCTTTAAATAGTTGGTAATGAATGGTTACGTTTACTTTTAACCATCTGAGACTAAGACAATTTAAATTTTGTTCTGGACACAATTTAAATTTTGGAGATAGCTCAGTGGCACAGGGCCTGCCTGGCAAGTGCAAGGTCCTGGTACCAAAAAAAAAAAAAAGTGGTAACTAACATACGGCATGGTGTCAAAGCAGTGAGAAAAAAGTTTTGGAACTTAAGCCAGACATGTTTGGCATGAATGTGTGGGATTTGGGGTGTGAGTCAGTGGTAGGGTGTGTTTTTCAATCCCATTTGAAGCTCCTTGCCAACAGGAGTCAAGCAAAAGGTCCTGGGTTCAATTCCCACCATCAAACACATATTAAAAAAAAAATCTTGTGCTTTTGGAGGGCATAATTAAGGTCTCAGTTCAAATGTCACTCACTGAAGAGACTTTTTTTTTGTCTCTTTGAGACAGGATCTCACTACGCAGTTCAGGCTGGTCTTGAACTCACAACGTGCCTTCTATGAGTTCAGGCTTTGGGATTACAGGCGTGTACCACCACGCCCCTGCTGAGACTTTTTTGAGACAGAGTCTCACTATGTAGTCCAGGATGGCCTTGAACTCATGGTGATCCTTCTGCTCAGCATTCTACGTGCTGGCATTACAGGCGTGCACCACCACACCTGGCCTGAAGAGACTTCTAATTCTAAGCCCGTGGATTCTAAAGTCTGTTCCTTCGTGGCGTCCTGTTTTCTTCATAACATATAGCACTATCCTAAATGATTTTATTTATTCACGTGATGGTTATCTATTCCCTCTGAAACATAAATTCGCTGAAATGGGAACTTGTTAATATTCCATTGTACCCTGAGCACTGACACAGAATTGTGACTGAATACATACTTGTAGAATGAGTGAACTAACTGAGCCCTTGTATAAACGTAGCGTGATCACACTCTGTCAAGTTATTAAGAAGCTTAGGGGAACAAGAACATCTGTATTAACAATCTAGAAAGTTACACCATATGGAGCCCGTACTGGTAGCACACGCGGGTACCCAGCACTCAGAGGCCGAGGCAGGAGGATCAATGTGTGTTTGCCGCCGGCCTGGGCTACAAAGCGAGTTCAAGGACAGCCTGAACTGCATTGAGACCCTCAAAACAAAACAAGACAAACCCAGAGACTACACTGAGCTATGCCTCTAATCCCATATCTCAAACTTAAAATATCCACTTTAAATAGGATTCAAAGCCTAGTTATTAAAGTTTAAGTGTACTTAAAAACTTTAAGATGTTTCTGTATCACAGCTGTCAAATACAGCTTAGTGGAATTTAAAGAAGTTAGGACCTCAAAGAAGCAAGGGCAGCCGGATGATCAGGAAGATGAAGAGGCCAATAGCAGGGAAGAAAGCCATGGATGAAACCATCCTCCTAGGACTGCACTGCCTGGGAAGCTAAAGGGAAGTCAGTGGACATTTGCTCTAGTGCCCGATTCCACACCGCTCACTCTTGCCTTCCCAATCTAGTGAAGAAACAGGGAAGAGGAGAAAGAAGGAAAGGGAGGAGCCGGCCACGCACAGGGAGAGAGGGACCGAGTGGCGGTGGTGGGGGATGGGAGGTGGGCGGGGCCCCTATCTGAGGAGGAATTGTGCGCCAGCCCGCCCCGCGCAGTCTGTTTCCCAGGTAACCGGGTAAACACTAGGCGTCCACTCCTCCGGTGCATCCCCTAGGCGTCAGAGGCAGGCAGGGAGCGGTGGGCAGGTGGTCTGAGTGACGATGTGTTCTTTCGTGAGAGTACACTCTCCCAAGGGGTTGAAAACTTCCCTGGAGCCAAGTACAGCTCTCCCGTTAGAGCTGAACGCCCTTGGAAGAACGCAGGTATCTGAGGGGAAACTTCCCCTGAGCATGGAATTCGCAAAGGATGATTCAGGAGACCAAAGGGTCTTTACGGGAACAACATCTCCCGCGCAGTTAGGGCTTAACATGGGATTAGCACAAGAAGATTCCCAGTGGAGGGAGAGCCGTGTAGTTAGCAATAAATGTAAGGAAAAGACAGAATTACTAGAAACAAAATCTCCTGTTGGCAAGGAGCTTGAAATGAGATTGAGAAACAGGGCTATTTCTAGGACCCTTGCGGAGAGGGGCAATCTAGGCTTCAACGGGGTCTCCGCTTTCCAGGAAACAAAACCCCTGGGTGTGCTTCCAGGGAGGGGGGCGGGGTCAGAGAATGAGTGTTGTGTGTCGCATGGTCCCTACGGAAGGCTAGCACAGCCTGCCTTGGGCGTGGTGTGTGGAGGTCCACAGGCTACGGGGAACAGAGAAGGTCCTATGGCGAGTGGCCCCGAAGCAATAGAGCCCTCCACGGGAAAGCAGCCTGTTTTAGGCTTAGAAGGGAGACGGGGGCTGGAGAAAGAATCCACCTGCGCTGTGGTGAAACCCAGCACGGAGGTGAACCCCCCAGTGGAGGTGGACATTGGCCTACCCCAAGTTGAGCAGTCAGATGAGGCTAGTATAGAGCCCCAGATGGGCTTGGTGATAGAACCTTCCCAGTGCCAGTTTGCCCAACACCCCAAAGAGGCCGGAGCTCTCGTACCAGGAGTGGAATCGCCAGACTGCATCAGACCCATATACGCTGGGAAATTTTTTGATCGGATGCCCTGCTGGCCAACTGTAAGTTGTTCCCCCTGTACTTTTTCTCCGAACTATACATAGCCATGTCTTAACTGAAATGATAAAGTGTCAAGACGTGCTTGGCTTTGGGAGACCAATGACAGATTCCACTGAATTCCCTTTTTTTTTTTTTTCCTGTCTTTTTGAGACAGGGTCTCGCTCTGCAGTTCAGACTGGCCTTGAGCTCACTTTGTAGCCCAGGCTGGTCTGGAACTCACAACGATCCTCCTGCCTCAGCCTCCTGAGTGCTGGGATTACAGGCGTGCACCACCACACCCTGCCGATTCCACTGGATTCTAATATTCTTGCCCCGCCCCGCTGAGCCCCCGCAGGTGTTATCTGATAGCCTTTTCTTCTCTGCCTTCTTTCCTAGATGTCACCCTTTGTTTTCTGTGCCCAGCAGGGTCCTTCCTGATATCTTCCTTTTTCTTCTTGGACCTTTGTTTCATTTCTCAGTCTTCATTCCCTCACCCTCTCACACACTCAGGCTCATGTTGTACCCTAGTGTTCATATTATAAGTGGAAAAACGCTTTTCTTTTCCCACCTGTTGTTTACTGTGTTATTTGTTACTTTCAGCCAAGACTTGTAGTGGTCATCGTGCTGGGAACAGGGTCATACAAAATGAAAAGTATGTGGTCTCTGCCTTTTTGGGTTAGGCTCTGTCCAATGCTGCAGACAGGTAGTTAAATGAATCTTAGGTGTCTAAATGACTACGCATATGATTCTTCCTGGAAATGCATATTTGCCAGGTGTGGAGATTATATCTGCTAATGAAAGACTGAGTTGGGAGGCTCTCAAGTTCAAGCCCAGCCTGGGTAACTCTGGGAGACCTTGTCTCAAAAAAAAAAAAAAAAAAGTGTGGCAGGAGCTCGGTGGTAGCGCACCCCATTTCAATCCCCAGGACTAGGGGAAAACACTCTTAGGCACGAAGCTCAGTGGAAATATTTTTACAATTCTGTTTAGAGGAGTCTGGAAAAGCTTAAATAAGGAAATAATGTTTGAACGAACACTGGACAATGACATCGGCTGGAGATGTAGCTCAGTAGTATATCACCTACTTAGCATGGGAAACTCTCTGGGTACCATCCCCAATAACCACAAAAAGAAAATAAAAGACATCTGAGGCAAAGAAAGACACTGAGGATGACCAAAGGCACTTGAGTTTGGGAGCTATAAGTAATTCTATTTAGGCAACATGCTTGAGAGATAAAGAAGATATCTAAAAGTTTAGGATGCCAGAGTAAAGTGTGTGGGTTCAAGATCAAAAGTGGGCTAGGTGTGGTGGCACACACCTGTAATCCCAGCACTTGGGAGGCTGAGACAGGAGGATCCTCTCCAGTTTGAGACCAGCCTGAGCTACAAGGTAAGCTCAAGGCCAGCCTGAACTGCATAGCGAGATCCTGCCTCAAAAAGACAAAGAAAGAGCCGGGCGTGGTGGCTCACGCCTGTAATCCCAGTACTCGGGAGACTGAGGCAGGAGGATCCTCTGGAGTTTGAGGCCAGCCTAAGCTACAAAGTGAGTTCAAGGCCAGCCTGAACTGCATAGTAAGACCCTGTCTCAACAACAAAAAAAAAAACAAAACAAAAAAGATCCGAAGTGGATTTTTTTTTTTCTTGAGGCAGGGTCTCACTGTGTGGTGCAGGCTGGCCTTGAACTCACTATATAGCCTGGGCTGGCCTCAAGCTCGTGATGATCCTCCTGCATGTGAGATGAACTTTTAAGGGCAAAACTGTATATTTATTGCTCACCTTCACGGTTTGTCACAATACTTCCCATACGACAGTCATTTAGTGAATATATTTTTCATAGTTTAAGTCAGGGTGATTAAATGGGAAGAAGAATGCAGAAGAGGCAGATCTGAGAGTATGGTATTGAGGAAACCTAAAGAAGGCATATTTAAGGCTTCTGGAAATAAAGATTCCACAGTCTGAAATTTGAGACTAAAAGTGTTAATGAGGTCACAGGGCTTCTGCAGAATTTTGTCGGTCCACAGGCTTTTGTTCCCCTTGGGAGTCAGGGTGCTTTGTGTTTGACCCACTTTGGTTTCTGGATCCATCACTGAATTTCCCCGGCCACTGCCTTCTTACTTGGCGCTTTCTGTTTCTGAATTGGCTCTGCAGTTTACCCCTGTTCATCTGATCTCTCTCACACACAGACTCAGCTTCTGGTTTCCAGAGCAGGTATCTAGTTCCCGAACTTCTGCTTCCTCCCCCTTCACACACCTTTCTTATAAGAAGTCAGGATGGAGAAGAGAGTGCCTGAGACTTCTTCGATAGGGCGAATAGGACGACAATGAACTTTGAATGTTAAGGAAACTAGCATTGTTAGAATGAGAATAGGCTGCCATGGCTTTCCTCGTGACACCCTGCCCTGCGTGGTGTCAGAATACCCTCCAGCGTATTCTGTTATCTTGCCCTTTCCTCTTTCCTAGGCCTAAGCTTGTTCTGCAGAGCCAATTTCTCCTCACTCTTCACTTTTACTTTTGAAATAACTTTGCACTGCTTTTTGCTTAAAAAAAAAAAAAAAAAAAAAAGCCAGAATAGAGGGGAAGCTCAGATTACAGTATGCTAAGGAGTGAATCAGATCTTAGAATTGGAGAAAGCTTTAAGATGTGTTATGCAAATACCAGTGTCACAGGATGAATCATTTTCTGTAGCAAACATGTACAAATAAAAACCAAAATCTTTAAAAAAGAAAGAATTAGAAGACAGTCCAGTGTGGTGGTACATGCCTGTAATCCCAGCACTCAGGATAATGTTGCCTCAAGTTTCAAGGCCAGCCTGGACTACACAGTGAGACTCTGTCTCAAAAAACAAACAAATACCCAGGAAGATCTTACTAAGTTATTACATTTCCCAGGCCGGGCAAGGATGGCGAGGATTTCCCAGGATGGCAAACTTGCCATCTTGCCTCAGCTTCCCAGAGTGCCGGAATTATAGGTATGTGCCACCATGCAGCTTATGTTTTATTTTGAGACAGCTGTCACAGCCAGCTGGTCTAGCTCTTTTTCTAGCTCTTGTCACCAAATTTCCTAAAAGTTTTTCTAGTAAGTTTTAAAAATTGACAATTATTTGTTAGGAATTGTCGGAATTCACATTTAATTGACTTATAATTAGATTGCTCCGTATATTTTTTTTCATTGTATTTGTTGTCCCTGTACCTGGTCACCTTGCTGAACTCTGATTAGTCATAATTGTTTATCATTATTTCTGTTGAATTTTTCTAGGAAGACATCAGATTGATATTTTTGTGCAGATGGGATAAAAAATGGTGAATATTACACCATTTTTAAAACTTACTACAGTAAGATACATTGCCGTTAATCCCCCACAACCCCCCACAATTTGAACATACTTAGCCCATTATTCTTGCCACTTTTTTTTTGTGGGGGGGTCTTTCTGACACAGGGTCTCGCGGTGCAGTTCAGGCTGGCTTTGAGTTCACTTTGTAGCCCAGGCTGACCTTGAACCTGCAATGATCCTCCTGCCTCAGCCTCCCGAGTGCTGGGATTACAGACATGCGCCACCATACCTGGCTTTCTTGCCATTTTCTTTTTTTTTTTTTTTTTTTTTCTCCGGTACCAGGAACCGAACTCACGACCTTGCACTTGCCAGGCAAGCGCTTTTGCCGCTGAGCTAAATCCCCAGCCCCTTTCTTGCCATTTTCTAAACCAGTTCCGAAAGTCCTCTTTCCTCAGTGTCTAGTGGCAAGTGCTGTCACAGCTGCCTTCATGCGCTAAATAGAATCAAAATATTTACCTTCCATGGTCATTTTAATTTTGGGGAAAAGCCACAAGGTATATGGTGACAGATCTGGTGAGTAAGGTGGATGAGGACACACTGTAGTGTTTTTACAGGCCTTGCCTTTAGGTTGAATGGCACTTCGCAGTGGCATTCACTGTATTTGTGACCACACCTTGTAAAAATATTCACTAAAGAGAACCCCCAGAACTTCTCCAAAAAGTGGTAAAAAATGGTGAGGTAAGTATGTTGGAAGTGAGGGGGATTAATGACAGTGTGTCTTACTGTAATAATTTTTCATCGTATGTATTTGTTTGTTGAAGACAAGATCGGGCTGTGTAGTTCAGGCTGGCCTTGAACTCACAGCATGAGTCCTTCCTCAGCCTCCTGAGTGCTGGGATTACAGGCATGCACCGCCACACTGGCCTCCACTGACCCCCTTTTTGGCCAACATCATACCCATTTATTTATATGTCCTTGTAAAGTTAGTTATTCATACAGAATAGCAGCCAGACTAGCAAGCCAAAACACAAATGGAACAAATAAGACAATTATACGAATTCAAAATATACCTTTTTTTGTACCAGGAATCAAACTCAAGACCTCGCACTTGCCAGGCAAGGACTGTGCTGCTGAGCTAAATCCCCAGCCAAGATACACTTTTAGATACACTCTTTGTGCTGGATTACAGTAATTTTTTTCATCTGTCTTTTTTCTGTTGTCTGCCTTTTACTTTGCATGTTACTTGTATACTGAGTTTCTCATATAAGAAACCATGTGATAGTTAAACTGTCTGATTTACTTCACTTAGCATTATGGTCTCAAAGTATACCCATTTTTCTACAAATGACTCAAACTTATCCTTCTTTGTGGCAGAGCTTTTCAGAGGTAGCTGAATCTATTTTGTGATTGGCTTATGGCCCAATGCTGGGATTAAGGGTATGAATGCTACTCCGACCCTAAGGTAGGTAGCCTGCATACAGTATGAGGGACAGAAAGAGGCTTCTCCTCACTCTCTCTCTGTTGTTGTTTTTGCTGTCTTCTGCCCCCATGAACTGTATCCCCCTGCCATGCCACTGTGCCTTGGAGCCAGCCGACTATGGACTGAAACCTCCACATACTAAGCTAAATAAACCTTTCCTCCTTTGACTTCAGGTGTCAGATATTTTGTCTCAGCAATGAGAGAAAGGTAACCAAGACACCAAGATTTAGTTATTATGAATTGTATTGCTATAAACATTGATACACATATGTCACT